CCCAGGACGTTTGCCAGGGTCTGGGGGCGGGGATCGGGGAGGCAGAGGAAGGGGTCTGTCTGCTCGCTCGTGCCTAATTATGGTTTATTTCCTCCCCGAGCGCCTTCTTTGATGTGTGAAGGAAAGGGAACCAAAGTCTCCTCTTTTAACCATGAGGGATGCAGACAGCGTTTTCGGACAGTTTGGTTTGATCTGGGAAGCGTGCTTTTTGCCTGCAAAGCGGAATGGGAAAACTCACTGCAGCAAATAGCAAAGGAGGGACTTGAGCCGCAAACTTGTTTTTTTTTTATTCCTTATGTTTTTTTCTCCTTTTAAAAATCCAGTCCACGAAAGCGTGAGTTCTCTTCAAAGTTGCAAGTGAATGTAGCGGGATTTTAAATAACCAAAGCTGTCTTTCAACACGTTGGTATTCCCTGCCTGGAGCAAACGTGATTCAGACGTTGTTTGACTATTTGGCCATTTAAAAAAAATCCAAACAAAATCAAGAGCTACTAAGAAGAAACATTTGGAAGTCGTCCAAGTTGGGTGACAAATAAATAGATTACATATTTGTCATAAATCTCTATGCTATGCACGACTGGAACCATCAAAGTAATTTTAGCAGTTCGCCAACAAAATCAAATGTTACTCTTCAAAGGAAAAATCAAGAAGACTTTTTCCCTGGGAGAACATGGGCATATAAAACAATTTTTTTGAGAGGGGAAGCGTATAAATATAGTATAGTTTTGCAGTGTGTACTCTTAATGTTTACACAAACATCTACTTTTGATTACTTATATGGTATTTTAAATTAGTAGCAAAAATGGTTTTGTCATAACACTAATTAAGAAGCAGCACCATTTCTTAATTAGGTCGTTGAGAGCCTGAGCTCGTCTTCCTACCTAATTCAAATCCAGGCTCCGACACTCACCAGCTGTGTGAGCCGAGGCAACTTACTGAACCTGTCTGTGGTTCACTTTCTTCATATGTGCAGCAGGAATAATAATTGGGTTAAATGAAATGGCAATGCATAGTGAGTGCTCTATAAATGTTGTTGAAGTTGCTTTCATCATTATTCCTCTTATCCCCACCCCCAGCCAAATGAAGAATCTTTAGGAAGAAACTTGAAATGTAACCTCTCCTACTTTACTTCAGTTATAGGAGAATGGCTCTCACTTTGAAGAGAAGAGAAATGCCCTTCCGAAATGCATCTCAATTAATATTAGGATGCATTGGTAGCACACTTTGCTAACTGGTAAACAGAGTAAAATCTCATATTGCCCTGGCCAGGACACAAGCCTTGGATCGTTCTGGTTGCTAGCAATTATTTCCTTCTCCTCTTGATGACTCTTTCTGAATCACAAGCCTTTACTTGGAAATGCAGACCAAGAGCAAGCCGGCACCAAAAAGGAAGCATTGCTTTCAGAAGCAGCCTAATGCCTGAGAGGTTCACTTTTCTTTGTAATCCCTCAGAAGCTGGACTAAACAACATGGCAGTGTTCCTGCGTATACTGGAGTTTATCTTAAGACAGACCAACCTGCTTCCTTCATACATGAAAGACCCACAAAGTATTGATACCAAAGTACAAGAAGTTAAGGGCACTTTGGACAGTGATGACTGAACGGTTAGCACAGGGGTTATACATTACAATAGCATTGTTTATCCAGTTTACATTTAGAAGCTAGCCCGCACAGAAATCTGGATTCCCTTCTAAAGCCAGATGGCCCCACATGCTTCCTGGTCTATCTTTAGGTTTTACACACACACACACACACACACACACACACACACACACACTCAACAAAGAAACATGAGGAGTTAATTGTAAAAACAGGAAGCTTTAGACCAGACTGAGGTCTGGAGCAATTTATTTGAAAACCTACCAATTCACAATTCTCTAGTTTAACAGCAGCCTTAGAAATACTTTGTAATACCTCAAGAGTACAATCAGGAAACTTCTCCGTCTGGCAAAGGAGGGATTGTACATTTACACAATTTAATGGTTTTTGAATTGCAACGTCCTATAAGATTAAATTCAAAAGTTTGTGTTCCAACCCTCCTTTCACTTAGGAAGAGATTTCTCCAAGGTAGTTTTGTTTCGTACTTAGTAGTTATTTATTTGTCCTGAATTCATCTTTTCTTAGAATGTTAAGTCCGGCAGGAAAGGACTTTGTAAAAATCATACCCATCTGGTTAGGGTCTACATTATTTGCTCTGCTCTATTCTAATCAGAACTTAAATGGTTAGAATGGACCGTGATCCCATTTAGGGGTCACAAAAGAAAGGTTATCCCTCCCCATGTGTTATAATTGAGGCTCCCACTGCAGGTTACACATACAAAACATTGCCCATGTACAAAAGCACACATGTGTACCTCCATCTTGATCTACACTATGGAAGGTGATAGACTTACACTGAACCAGGCTCCTCAAAGATAAATATTTGCAAAACTAATCACATCTATAAGCTAGTATGCAAACAACAAATACATCTGCAGAATGGTATCATCTATCTAAATATATAAAAGGCTGTGTCTGTCCATCCGACTGGTAGCTATGATGCACACTGACCACCAGGAGGCAGACGCTCAATGCAGAAGCTGCCATGACCCGCATTGGCCATTTATCCCCCAAGTGGGACATAGGCCCCACCACCACCCCGGAGTGCCACCCCACCAAATTGCAGTTGACGCTGTCAAGACCCCATGGCACAAAATGTGGCCCACGGCTCAGCCCACCCTGGAAACGGTTGCTGTGGGCACTGGGTAATGCCGTTACATAGCAACGCCATGCTTCCTCTCCCTAGCGATTAGCCTCCTTGGAGTTTCTTCAGCCCAAGAACCCGACTTGCTTTATAGCCAGGTGCAAACATTTTAAAGTTTAACCAAATGTTTGTGAAGCATTTTCCCGTGCCTCATCTCATTTGATCCTCACAGAAGTCCTGGAGTGGGTAGATAGGAGACTCAGTAGAATCCTATTTTCCTTTCATTAGCAAGACATGAATAGCAATATTAAAATATTTCTTCTAATTGATTTCCTTTCAATGTGAATGAATCCATGCACCAGGACCCTAGTTGTTTATAACACCCCCAAATTGAAATAACCCAAATGCCCATTGACTAATAAATTAATAAATAAAATGTGATAAAGTCATACAATGGAATATTTTTGGCAATAAAAAAGAATGAAGTACCAATACATGCTACACCGTGGAAACATTATGCAAAGTTAAAGAAGCCAGTCACAAAGGACCATCTTGGCATGATTCCATTTATATGAAATGTCCACAAGAGACAGATCTATAAAGACAGAAAGTAGATTAGTGGTTGTCTAGGCCTGGGAAGATTGGGAGGATATGGGGAGTTCACAGCTTAGAGTAAGGGGCTTCTTTTTGAGAAAATGAAAATAGTCTAAAATTGACTGTGGTGATAAATGCATAATTCTATGAACATACTAAAAAATCATTGAATTGAACACCTTAAATGGCTGAATTGTCAATTACAGTATTTCTAAAAAAAATTGTTTTAAAAATTGGCACCATTGCCTCATAAATATTATTTTTAAATGCTATCAAAAGATCCATTCTCAGGCCTTGGCCAGGTAGCTCAGCTGTTTAGAGCATCATCCCAATACACCAAGATTGTGGGTGTGATGCCTGATGAGGGTACATACAAGGATCAACCAATAAATACATAAATAAGTGGAATAAGTCTCTCTCTCTCATTAATTTTTATAAGTCCAATCTCTCACAGACTTTTCTTTTATTATTATTTTCATATGTTTTTTATTGATTTCAGAGAGAGGAAGGGAGAAGAAGGGGAGAGATATAGAAACATCAATGATGAGAGAGAATTATTGACCAGGTGCCTCCTGCATGCCCACAATGTGGGGCATGTGCCCTGACTGGGAATTGAACTGTGACCTCCTGGTTCATGGGTAGACACTCAACCACTGAGCCAGGCTCTCATAGACTTTTCAAAGGAGTCTCCAAGTCCTCTTGATCTAATGAATAAGATTTTTAACTCACCTAAAACATAGAATGCATATGCTTTAATTATCCAACATAGTTTTAATAGGAAATATAATACAATGAGACAGAGAGAGAATTTAAGTACATTGCTTAACTTCTTTGAGCCTCGGCTGTAAAATGAGCATACTAATTTCATTCCCTACTAGACATTTGCTTAGTCAGTGGACTCGTTGCTCTGTCCTGTGTCTCAACTAGGCAGGGGAAAAGAAAGTTAAAAAGAGATGACAGGGCAGAGAAAAGGATCCTTCTTTCAGTCCAATCTTCATTTATTCTGCTCAAATACTTCAGTGCTGTGCTCCAAAGTGAACCATCGCAAATTCACCATTATATTCCATGCTACCATCCCCAGCTGAAATACTCTTTCCTGCTTTCTATCCTG